TCTCTCTCTCTCTCTCTCTCTCTCTCTCTCTCTCTCTCTCTTTCCTACAATGCAGCCCAAGTCAGCCTTGAACTCATAGTCCTCCTGCTTTTGTCCTTTCTCCATCTCCAGAGTGTTGAAATTATAGGCGGGTACCACCATTCCTGGTCACTCTAGGATTTCTGTCTAGGCCACAAATGTGTGTGGACTGTAAGGAACACCCATGATTCATAAACTGGACTAGCAAAATCCCAGAAAAAAGAAAATCAGACCGCTTCATCAGCGGGCAGGAGGCGGCTGGGCTGTTTTATAGTCGACAGGGATAGGCCAAAACACCTCATAGAAGACTCCAAATGCATTGAGCATCAGCCTTCAGGTTCCCTCGGTAAGCCACACCCCCACCCCACCCCCGAGTTGAGATGTGTACTCATAAGAACAGTTTTGGTCCCGGATGGGGGTGCGACCAGCACCAAAAACAGGGCAGGGTATTTCTGGTCTGTTGCTGATGGTTTGGGACACCCTCTGCAGCAAAAGAGTTTGAAAGATCCTGCTGCGGAAGAAGGGAGAGTTGGCATTAGGTGTTGACTCTGGTTAGTCTGGATTCTCCTCCTCTTTGGAGGTGAGTTACCTGAGTGAAGGTGGTTTCCAATAAGCCTTCCCTTTATTAAGCCACCTGCAGGAGAACGCGAGGCATCAGATTGACTGGCTGTGTCAGACAGTGTTAATGCCACACTCCAGGCCCTCACCTTGGTGGGCTGGGCAACCAGATCATTATATTACAATTTATAAATAGAAAATAAAATTATCGGGTGAGACTGGGGCACTGGGGAAGACGCAAAAAAAGTCCTCATTAAAGAGTGCCCATCAGCAAACCCAGTTATCAAGGACCCGAGGAGCACTCCTATCAGCTAAAAGTTGCCTCTAAACCAATAAGTTCCAGTAGAGCTCTTCTTTTTCTCTAGTCTCTTTCCATACCCACTTTCCCAATCAGCATCACCTATGCTGCCCACATCCCCAGATCTTAGCACGCCTCGGTTTCGGTTTCGCCCAGAGCCTGGCGTACTTCTATACTCGGATGATCAGCCCATTAACTCCTCCGCCAAGCGGTAAAGTAGTCGAGAGTACCAATGCATGCCAGTCGGCTGGACCGCACCCCCGGGGAGCAACGCCCCGAGCGCGTGCAGCAGGCGCAAAGGAGCGAAGGCGCGGTGGGCCCACTGGTGACTCTCCAGAACCGCGTAGCAGGAGGCGAGGACGTCGTTCACCAGCAGCGTCCCGTGCGCAGTGAGCGGTGCGAACACGCCCACTGCTTCCTCGCGGGCCACACGGGCTACGCGAGCCGGCCGGAGCGCGTCCCCGCCTGGAGCCAGCACCGAGTCCCCAGCGCGTAATCGGCGCGCAAACACCGGTGCAAAGTCACCTGGAGCCGGCGCTGGCCCACGAGCCGCGAACACCAGATGCCAGGGTGTGAGCAACAGTTTGCGCGGAGGCCGCTCGGTCTCCACAGCTACGAAGGAGGCGCGGCGCTGCAGGTCCCGGTCCAGGAAGAGTAGCACCGGCGTGGGCACCACCCGGCCCGCTGCATCGGCGGCTAGTACCCAGTCACCACGATGGAGTTCTCTCAGCCCCTTCCGCTCGCCGCTCCGCAGACGCACTGTGGCATTTCCCGGAAAGCAGCCGCCGGCTCGGACCGCCAGTGAGTTATCTGCAAGGAGGATTAAGACCAGATCAGCAAATACAAGAACAGATTCTAGAAGATGTGGGTGAAGCCCAACGCAGACCTCACTAGTCACGGGATATCGTTCAATTTCCAGGGATCTAGTCACACCTTGAGTGTAAGTGGAAAAGTTGGTTTACAACACTAATGCCTGTTTGGTCCCTTGAGGGTAGCAAGGAGACTATCCCCCATCAAAGCCCCCTTTGGATGGATCACCATCTGGCGTCTACTGTACCAGCTTTGACCGACACGTGGACGTGGTTTCGGGACTCATAGTAGACCCAGTCGAAGCCTGCTTCCACTGCTAGGCGCGCCAGCAAACCATACTTATTGCGGTCACGGTCAGACGTGGTGATATCCAAGGCGCGGCCTTCGTAGTGGAGTGAGTCCTGAGCGTGGTGGCCATCCTCGTCCCAGCCTTCAGTCACACGTAGGCGCACTCCGGGCCACATGTTCATCACCGCAATGGCTAGAGCGTTCACCCGCTCTTTGCAACGCTAGTGGGGGGAATAAGCAGCCAGTTTCCCCACTACCATCACCACCGGGCAGGCGATGGGCAGGGTGAGGTACAAGGGACCAGTAAGGCATCCGTGCATCTTTACTCTCTGGACCAACTCCATTCCCTCCCGGGTTCTCAGTGTCCTGGGGAAGCGAGGGTCTGAATAGGTGTAGTCACCAATCTGTACTTGATTGCCAGGGCATGCTTAGAGAACCGAACCATGGGATTAACCCCTCTGAAGGTGAGAGGGTATCTCCATACCTAGTTATTTTCCCCCATTTTCAGTGCCTACATCTCACCCTTATTTGTTCCAGGACCTCAGTCCAATCAAAGAGAGACTCATAGGAGAGAGAGAGGATGGAAGTTTGGTTAGGGAGGGCCTGGCTCCCCGAATCGAGTCCTATTTAAGCCTGACCCCCGCCCCGGGCCCCAGTTGCCCTCCCTCCGTCTGATTCATCTTTTGTTTGGTTGCCTTCCCTGGCACTGGGCATCGCTTCCTTCCTTCCTTCCTTCCTTCCTCCTCCTCCTTTCAGCCTCTAGCATTAACCCATTGGTGGTCTGGGTGCGCCCCTACAGAGGTGCCCAAGAAGAGCCGCGTGGGATCAAGGCTGCTGGAAAAAGAGTCGGGTGGCGGGGGCTGCATGAAGCACAATGGCTATTCTCCCGGATGACTTAACTAAGCGAGAATCTCGGGCCGAGGCCGGGAACGCGTCGGGAGAAGCGGACTCAGCAGCTCCAGCTACAAAGGCGCTTTTCAGCCGCCCCGGCTCAGGGAGAGGAAAGGGCAGAACGCCGCGCCCCACATCCCTGCTCCCGCCCGCCAGGTCCCCTCCCCCAGCGTGGCCAGCCTGCCACTGTGTCAGTTCTGAGAGCCCCCCATCTCTCCTATCTCTGCCCTTAGAGGCGTGGGAGGAGCAGCACCTGAGAATGGCAGGACCTACCTCCACCTCCCGCGCAGGGTGGGAGTGGAGGAAAAGGAGCCATGGATGCAGGCCTGCACCCCCGGGGGAGGGAGGCCACGGTTATCTTGGCGGCTCCGGTCTGGGAGTTGGAGACCTTGGCGAGCACCAGAGCCGCGACACCACGGGAGCAGCAGCGCAGGAGGAGCGCAGAGAACAACTTCTTTTTCTTTGTCCCTTTTCATCTTTCACCTCGAACTTGGATTCTAAATGATTGCTAGAGGGGCATTCCCTACCCTCTTTTCTAGTCAGCTGCACCTCTGAAGAGGCGCTATACAAGTGGTACTCTTTCCAACTTCGTGTCGTTTTGTCCCCTAAGAAGGCCCTGACCTGCGGGGGCAGTAGCCCAGAACAGAGGAGCCAACTCAATAGAGTCCTTTTGCAGCCAGGGTGTGGGAGATAAGCAAGACTGGGTGTGTGTGTGTGTTGTGTGTGTGTGGGGGGGGTGTTGCCCGGGCCTTTGGAGGCCTCCTGAGCCTATCCCTTGTTCTGCCCCCTGCTGCAGGTTTCAACCAGAGGGAAGCACCACAAGGTTCCATGGCCAAGGTGGAAAGGAATGCTCCTTTCTGATTTCTAGAAAGAGAATGACTTCATCCCTGGAGTGATTAGTTCTCACCCTTAACCACAGCAAGCAGGAGGTAGAGGCAGGAGGATTTCTGTGAGTTTTACATAGCAAGTTCCTGGCCCATACGGGCTACATTAAAAAAAGAAAAAGAAAAAAAGAAAAAAATCCTTCTTCCTTGTACAGGTTTTCCTAACAAAGTGACCTGGAAAGCTATGGCAGTGAGAGGAAATCCGTACCCTTTCCTCTCCCCACCTCCCGACTGCACACACAATTAGGTGTTGTAATGGAAAGTATATAGGACTCGGAACCCTGAGACCCAAATTCTAGTCTTGGCAATGCCATGAATTTAGCTGTGAGGCCCTGATTAAATTGCTTTTTCCCCCTGGGACCCACCTCTCAAATATAAGTGAGGGGTGGGGTGGGGTGGAGAAATATGTCTTCTGAATTTCCTTTCAGTTCTGACATTCCAGGACGTGACCAGAGAAGGTTCTTTTCCAGGTCATGGTCCACCGTATTCCAGGCAGGTTCAGCGCCCATCTGTAGCAGGTGCTCCATAACGGTAGTTGAATTTAATTATTTATTCGAGGCAAAGGTCTCACCGTTCATCTATCTATTCTGAGGACGATTTTTTTACCCAAAGTCTCTCAAGACGGGAGGACAATCCCTGACCACCCCATTCTCAGAAAGATGGCCTGGTAACCTGACTCTTGCCCATTCCTTTTTCAGCCCCCTTCTTTTTGACTCAGAACTTTTGGACATCAGGCCAAGAGTCAGGCTAAGCGTAAAGCCTTCTGTAGGCTACCTACCCTAGCCAGCTCCTGGCCCCCAGCTCACCCCAGCCCTTCCTGCCTGGCTCGGTGGCTGACCCCCGGTCCACGCCTCAGCCATTTCCCGTCTCGCCTGCCGCCATCCTCCTTTCCCCGCCCTCACTCCAGCCTCTCCCAGATTCACTCTCACTAGTCAGTTCCTCCTCCCCCTACCCATTCCAGCCTTTGCCGTTTGGATTCCTCCAAACCACTACCAGCCAGCAGGTTATTTGCTTTCTTGAAGGATGTGATGAAGGAGGTCTTACTTTATTTTAGTTTAAGGTCTCGGGAGATAAAGTGACAGTTCATACCCAGGTAGGAAAACCGACGAGGAGTTACTGATGTGCAGGAGAGCAGGTGGGGAGAAGCGCTCCTTACCTCTGTCATCAGGCGGTCAGCCCCGCTGTTCTCCTCATCCTTGAAGATTATGTCGGGGTTGTAGTTGGGTACGAGGTCCCGGAAGCGCTCGGACCCCCTTGCTACCCTCCCCTCCGCTGGCCCACTCGCGCCAAGGGTCCGCTCGGGCACACTAGGCACAAACTGCTTGTACAGCAGAGGCACAAGCTGCTTGCGCACGTATCGCCGCCGGCCAACCGGTCCCCGGCCCGGCCCGCAGCTCTGGACAGACAGTGCCAGGAGTGCCAAGCAGCACAGGGGCAACAGATTGGCCCGCAGAGCCATGGGCACCATGGAATTGGTTCAAAGGGGGAGCGTTATGGTCCTCAGTAGCTCTCCTGTCAATTGGACATCTCCACAAGAGCCAGCACCGCTGATAGAGAAGCAAGCTCCCAGGGTACCTGGAGCGCTGGTGGCTCCGAACACCTGGCAACCACTAACTGCTTACATGCCCCGGGGAACCTGGAACCTACCACTGATAGACTACCATTACAGGGCAGGTGGGTCGAGGGTGAGTGCCGGCCCAGCCGGCCCCTGCTGCCCAGCTCCGGTGCTCCCAGAACCGCCCTGACCCCGCCTTAAGTGGTCCCTGGCCCCGCCCCCCGCCCTTCTCCCAGGACTGTCCCGCCCTCTCCCACCCAGGCGGGGGATCAAGCGGTCACCACTGCTCCATTCTTCACTGAAGTGTGTCCCATCCTGGAAACCAGGCAGGCACCTGCTTAGGAAATCCTTGAAGCTTTACAGTCCTGGCTGCCTGGATAAGCATCCTTCTACCTCCGAGTCTAAATTAGGAACCAAACTATCTTCCTCTGCTAGTCTTTGCTCCCAAAGTCGACTCTGGCAGGCCATGCCCACTGCTGTCATCCAGGAAGTCTGAGTTCCAATTTCTGCTCAAGGCCATCCAAGCCCTTTGGGCATACAATCAAAGCCTCCCTCCTCTGTGGTCCTCAGGTCTTCTTGGTTCTTCTCCCTCCACAGTCATCCATAACCAGAAGTGGATCCCAGAGGATCATTTTCCTTGGTGAGTTTGTATCTTCTGAGGAACAGAGCTGGACTCTCACAAGCCAGTTTAGGGGTGGTGTATGTGCATGCACACGCCACAACAGTGGAAGTCGGAGGACTTTTGAAAATCAGCTTTCACTGTGGGCTCTTGGGATTAAACTCAGGTTCATCGGGTGTGGCAAGTCCTTTGACCTGCTCATCCATCTTGCCAGCCCAACGCTTTCCCAGCCCTGTGTCCCCTCAGTCTTTGCCAAGTACTCAAGGGTCACTTTTCATCCCTCCCCCTCCTTCTTGACACAATCTAATGTAGCGCAGGTTTGGTCTTGAACTCACATCACAGAAGGCTGACCTTGAAAGTTTTCTCCTCTGGTCTCCAGCTGCTTCCCAGAGATGCACCACCACACTGGGTTTATGTGGTGGGGGCCAAAACCAGGGCCTTGGGCTGGAGAGATGGCTCAGCAGCTAGGAGTGCTGGCTCTTTTTCCAGAGGCCCTGAGTTTCTAGCACCCACATGGTGGCTAACTACCATCTGTAACTCCAGCTGGGGAGCGTGGTCAATGCTGTCTTCTGGCCTCCTCAGACACCAGGCATGCAAGTGGTACACAGATATGCAAGCAAAACACCCATACATATAAAACCTTTAAAATAAAAATAAAAAACCCAGCACCTCAAACATGCTAGGCAAGCACACAACTGATTTTTTTTTTAAATATTTATTTATTTATGAAGTATACAGCATTCTGTCTGAGTATATGCCTGCAGGCCAGAAGAGGGCACCAGACCTCATTACAGATGGTTGTGAGCCACCATGTGGTTGCTGGGAATTGAACTCAGGACCTTTGGAAGAGCAGGCAGTGCTCTTAACCTCTGAGCCATCTCTCAGCCCCACAATTGATTTTTTTAAAAGGATTTATTTATTATGTTTACAACATTTTGCCTCCATGTATCCCTGCAGGCCAGAAGAAGGCACCAGATCTCATTACAGATGGTTGTGAGTCACCATATGGTTGCTGGGAATTGAACTCAGAACCCCTAGAAGAGCAGCCAGTGCTCTTAGGCTCCAAGCCATCCCTCCAGCCCCACACAATTGATCTTTATCAATCGAGATATATCCCTATTTCTCTGTTTTGTCTGAGACAGTCATTTGTAGCCGATCTGGCTTCAATTTGCTGTGTTAAGATGGCTGGCCCAAGGCCTGGTGGTGGTGACACACACCATTACAGGTGGATCTCTGTGAGTTCAAGGCCAGCCTGGTCTACAAAGCGGGTTTCAGGACAGTCATGGTTGTTATACAGAGAAACCCTATCTCAAAATAACCAACCAAACAAACAAACAAGATGGCCCTGAAATCCTGAGTACTTTACCCTGGACAATGCATTTTGATTAAGTAGTCATTTTGAAGCTGTTGAAAGGCAGTGGACACCTAAAATCTTGATCTGTAAGAGGATGAGGATCAGTTCTCTTCACCTCACGTCCTCTACCTCGTCCCTCTGGATCCATTTCCAATTCTCCAGGCCTCCTCTCAGAGACACTTTTTTTTTTTTTTTTTTTTTTAGTTTTTCGAGACAGGGTTTCTCTGTGGTTTTGGAGCCTGTCCTGGAACTAGCTCTTGTAGACCAGGCTGGTCTCAACTCACAGAGATCCGCCTGCCTCTGCCTCCCGAGTGCTGGGATTAAAGGCGTGTGCCACCACCGCCCGGCTCAGAGACACTTCTTACCCACCAGTTCCTATCACTGAAGTCAGCTCCTCTGAGGATTGCAGCCTGCAGATGGACAGACTTCCTCATCCTCAGCCACATAGCTGTCTTCAGGGCTTTGTTGTTTTGATAAATAAAAAAGACCAGAAACCACTTGGGGAGGAAAGGATTTCAGCTTACAAACTCCAATTACAATCCATCATGAAGGGAAGTCAGGAAAGAACTTAAGGCTGGAGGGCTGGCTCAGCAGCTAAGAGCACTGGCTGCTCCTTTTAAAGGACCCAGTTTCTGTTCCTAGCTCCCACATGGTTCACAGGGACTCCAGTTCCAGGGGATCTGACACTTTCTTCTGACCTCCCGGGGGACCAGGCATGCTCATGGTAAACATACATATATGCAGGCAAAACACTCATATTAAAAAAAAAAAAAGACAAAAATCCTGAGCGAGAGCCTCAAGGCAAGAACCTGGAAGGACCCAAAACAGAGGCCATGGAGGAGTATGGGGCTTGTTCTGCCTGTTTTCTCAAGCAGCCTGAGACCACCAGCCTAGGGGTGGCACTGCCCACAGGAGGCTGGGCCCTTCTACATCAATGAAAGAAAAACGCTCCACAGATTTGCCTACAGGCCAGTCTTACTTTCCCAGGTTAGTCTTTCCCAGGTATGTCTAGAGTTGTTTCAAGCTGACAAAACTAACCAGGACAATAACATATCTTGAGTTTGCTACTGGAAGACAATTAAGGGTGGAGAGATGGGTTACCTGCTTCTCTAAAAGACCAAGGTTTAATTCCCAGCACCCACTTGGCAGCTGATCAGCGGTCCCATATCCCACACCAGGGGATACAATATCTTCTTCTGGCCTCCTCAGGCACTGAACCCATGTGGTGTGCAGATATACATTCAGGCAAAACACTCAAGACATTAAAAAAAAAAA